GATGGTGGTCGTTGGCTTGTTCGCTGAGCTGGGCAATTTGATTGCAAACGTTTCATCACCAATCGAGGTGACATCATCAGTGCGTTATTGTGGAGTGTAGTATTGCGTAGCTACGCACTACTGTGTGCGAACAAGCCAACGACCACCACCTACGCTACCTGAGCTACCAACGTTTTCTTCCATAGAATACTTAGCTATTTTTTCCCTCTTTGTGCGATTATTCCACTATTAATAGTGGCTTTTGTAGGTCCAATCAACTTCATAGAAATCCTGTAAAGTCAGAGCACTATCCCCGTAACTCCTAAAGGAACAAACCTTCCAGTACGCAATTCCCTTGGAGCGACCGTCAGCATCATTCGTTTTTCCAGTTTTGCACTATCAGCCGATTCAGTCGTAACATATTTCATTTGTTTATCACCAATAGAGTCGATATCAAATGAAGCTGGGGCAGGATTTAATCAATAACCCATGTGCAAATTAAGTCAATCTTAACACGAGACCCAACTAGATCCTAGCTGAGTCCCTCGTTTATATCCAACGCCAGTTGGGCGTAGTTTAAAGCGGCTGTAAAAATGGACTGTCGAAAACTGATTGAACGACCAGAGCATAGTGTTATCACATGGAAACACTTGGGATGTTACTCGTTTCAATGTATCGCTCAGTTGGAGTTTCGACTCAAGGAGACTGAAGTCGGTAATCGGAAAATAGTGAGTTGCGCAACACTGCCTAAGTCCTTCTGTGCTCACCTTACAATGTAATGAGGGATTGTGGCTTCGTCACTTTGTTAACCAACCTCCTCCGTGAGCCCTCAGCTAGTACAAACACAGTTCACGATGCCACGAAGCTTACCGTAGATTTCACTCCACTTTTTTCATGACAGTGCCAAAGGATTATCGGTAGTATACAAATTCTTAGTGAAATGACCCCGCTGCTTTACCGAAAGCTGAACAAATAGTCAAAAGTGCGCCACAAGCTGACACTCGCTAGTTTTCAACCAGCATATTGCTTGATTTAGCCTGGTCGAGATCCACCTCAAACTGTTCACCATTTGTCACCTCGTGGAAACGAGCTATTTCTTTCTTGGATTACTGGTTGATCGTGCTTGTATGGAAGATTCACACTGAAGAAATTAAGACAAGAAAATCTGTTTCATTCAGCATGTTTCTTAGGTGGAGGTCTTCCGCAAAACAATGGATACCGTTTTGTAATGTAAAAAATCGAAGATCTCCAAAAATGTTAATGTACGCACCAAAGTGGGCTGAAATCAGGTGAGTAAAGATGAACGCAATAGGTTGCTCCGAAATTTGGACACTGAATGAGTGCACCAAAGCTCCTTGAGCAGGCTGTCACTCTTTAGCTGGTGAAGTAGTTTTGATACGGAACATATTTTCCTAGGATTGGAACGGCCGCATCTGGAATACCTAGTCACAATCACTTTAATGTGCGACATTGATGGCCTTAATGTACTCCTGAGAAGCGTAGCAGACTAGCTTTGAGTACGCACAGGAAACTTTGACATTAGGTCAGTTCTAACCGCTGGTATTGAGGGTTTGGAAGAAACCATTAACCCGGTCTCGAATTTGCATACATTTAGTCCGAAAGCCGTTTTTAACATGTTTTCACTGGTCAGCGTGTCACATCACATCACCGATCATGGAGCGAGATGGCTCAAGTGGTTAGAGCGCGAATTTACTGACCGGAAGGTCCGTGGTTCGAATCCGACCTCCACCTCTCGACTTCCCCTGTCTATGCTTGGGCAACCTGGCAGTATCCCTCGTGCTTCCTTTGGGTGGCATGGCAGCTGGACACCGGAAGGGTGCTACGGCTGAACGCTCACTGATCATGGTTTGCAGATGAAGAAACAGCTGAACATATTGCTCACAATAGTCTTTGACCGAATCCGCTTTAAAAATGTCGCCCCATCTTTCAATGGGAGGATTTTCAAACTGGTGATATCCAACAGTTGATATGCCTTGTTGTACTACGCGCGTTTGCTTGCTTTTATGTGAGACCTGGTTCTTTAAAGGTTTTCCGTCTTTTCCTCCATACTTTAGGAGGCGTTCTTTTAACGGCCACAAACCATTCACACTTGTCGAGACTTCTGAAACCTGAACAACGAAATCAAGTTTAGTTTTGCATATCCATGCCATACTTTTGACCCAGTCTGTAACAGCCCTCTCAATAAATAGTTTAGTCGCAAAATGTTAGGAAACATGTCTGATAGTCCAGTTACTCTTGTTACACTAGTCAGGGGCTCCCCGCTCACAACGCTGACCCTTGGAATAACCAAATGGATTTTTGTGGATCACAAGGTTTTTTCGATGATGATAGGCTTTCTGAACCCCTAAGTTATTGGAACACTTGTGTGATGAATTACTCAAAATTTCACTACTCGTAAACATTTCGTTGAGTACGTTTTATCCATCTGCATATATCCATCCTTTGGACCACAAACAGGATGAAATGCCTCGTGAAATTTTTTTTCAAGAATAGTGACATCCTTCCCTTATCATAATTTTCCGTATCTTCACATATCTATCTCGATTTTCTAGGTACGTCACGTTTCATTCGGATGAAAATAGGAAGCATTTGAACTTTGCTTCACTGAACTTTCTGAATTTTGTCGGTGATCCAGATTTGTCAGAAGTTGCGATTCAAAAAATGAAACAGTACGGTGTCGGATCTTGTGGGCCTCGAGGTTTCTATGGCACATTTGATGTTCACCTGGAGTTGGAAGAGACACTGGCCAAGTTTCTTTCAGTGGAAAAGGCTGTTGTCTACTCCTTTGGAGCTGCCACGTTTTCTAGTGCTATTCCATCCTACGCCAAACGCACGGATGTAATTTTCGCCGATGAAGGGATTAGTCACACAGCCTACCAGGGTATCGTTGCCTCAAGAAGTCATGTGAAGTTCTTCCGCCATAACGATATGAAGCACCTGGAGGAACTATTAAACGCTCAAGCAGCAAAGGATAAAAAAGATCCAAAAAGGGCCATGCTCACTCGGCGATTCTTTGTTGTGGAGGGCCTGTACATGAATTACGGTGACATATGTCCTTTGCCGGAGCTGGTCGCTTTAAAATACAAGTATAAAGTTCGAATTCTTTTGGACGAGACGGTTTCGTTTGGCGTACTTGGTGCAACTGGTCGCGGTGTGACCGAGTATCACGGAGTTGATGTTGAGGATATCGATTTAATAGCAGGTAGGAAATGCCCCCTGGTTTCATATCACCTTTGATAGGTAGCAAACTTTTTCCTTTTAACTGCCTATCATCATCATCATCATCATCATCAACCTATCAAATTCTAGGAATGATAAAGTGCAAAGTTTGGCAACAATCGATGGATGTAATTCTAGACATCGTTTCGCTTTTGATACAAAAGCTTCGTCAGGCCAAGTGGCTAGGTTACTCGGTTGATAGAGATTTAAGACGGAAGGTAAATTAATCAGCCGAGTAAAGCTAAATCCGTGGCAGGTGTCCGCCAAGGGATTTTGTGTGTGGGTCACCAAGTGTTGAACCGACGGGGAAACCTACATGGATTTGGGTCCAGCGTAGGGTCAAGTTCTTCCCAGCAATAAATCCACAGATTGTTACCAAACTACTCAGTTGATTCCAAGCGTCCTTTCAACTGATTGTACAAATTAGTAGATTTTAAATCTGACAACAAGGTTGTTGACTTTTCACTATGCACGGAAACTGTTTTTTCCAATAATCTTTATTAGGGTTTTGAACTGAGCGCTTTGTTACCGTTCAGTAGTACTTGATCACCCACACCGTGCATTAGCCGATTTTTCTCGTAGTTGATCGAAGTTCGCGATGGGGGGAGGGCGAGATAGCTCAAGTTGTTCGAGCGCGAATTTACTGACGGGAAGGTCCTTGGTTCGAACCCAACCTCTGCCTCTCGACTTCCCCAGTCTAGGCTTGGGCAACGATTCCCGCCCTCGTGCTTCCTTCCGGTGGCATGGCGCCTAGGCACCGAAAGGGTGTTACAGCTGAACGATTTGACTGAAGTTCGCTCCAAGAAGGTGCTGCTTTCTTTGTGTCTGTATATCTAATAATCAGTGTTTACCTTTATTTATGTTTGCTTTTACCAGTAGGCTAGCGGATGGCTTTGACTAACTGAATAATCCCCAGGACATAGGGTCGCAAACTTGGGGAAGATGTCAGGAAGTCTTTTTTCAACAAGGTACGGTGTTACATTGCCAAACTGTGGCTGACGATTTGCCTATCCTCAACCTCTTAATAGACGACGAATTCTATAAGATCGGATAAAATGAACTATAACCGAAACCAGTGTGAATGAAAATATGTGCTACTCACCCTCCGGGAAGTTTCCCTTTCACTAGGTTACAATGTTCAGCAACCTCCCGAAAAAAGAGCCTTGCAGGGAAAGGGGCTCTTCGGCCTCTTTTGGGAAGAGACGGGGCTCTCTATGAGCTTCATTAGTATACCCTTTTCTTTTAGTAGAAGCAGCGTCCTACTATACCGTCGATGTCCACCGGTGTCGACAACTCGCGCTGTTTTGCAGCATCGTTCGGAAAGTATTCGAAAATGTTTGGCACTCGGGAATCAGCTTCAAGTTTTGGCTTTAATAGTTCCAAAGTCACATTGCTGATATTCCGCAACACAAATTCTACTGGCCCCTGTGGGGGCGGTACCAATTCAATGTCAGAATGAACCGAAGAAATACTTTCTTGTCTCAGAAAAGTCCGATGATGAATCGGTGAACTCGACAACGTTTCCCTTTTCGAACGAAGACTAGACTTTTAAGGCAGGCGGGGAGCCAATTGGTGAGATCTAAGTCAGCGTTGGATGTCGCCTGAAAATTCTTGTTGGTTGTGTGACTGAGTTCTATGACTATTGATTTAGTGAGAGAAGCTATTACAATTTGGATTGAGTTTGAGGTATTGTTCTTCCGTTTCAGAGCACATCCGGTGGTGATTTATATTGAATGTCGTCTACGTGTTTTGTTGGCTTGTGCGCATTGCTAATGCAAGTCGGATAGGAGGTGGTAGGGACGGCGTGAATCTTGGCTAGTTTAAGGTTTTTTGTCGACTCCGTTTCACTGATAACGACGCACCGTCTCGTGTCAACTCGACTGGTCTGAAATCGCCTTTCACACGATCATCAGTTTCACGTCGCCTATTATATTCTCACTGGCATGCATGATGGTTTCTGCATCCTCGGTTGTCAATCGCTGTGACGTGAATAGTATTCCCGACCCCAAAACTTCAACAAATTTTAAACCTATCGTGTATTTAGTGCATGCCCCGCCATTGGCGCTCGACACGCATCTTCGTTTGTTTGTGATATGTTTATTCTACTCTGCTCATCAACTCTGGCGTGAAGTTCCATGGCCATCTGTTGTAGGAATTTTTTAAACGTGGTTGTTACATTTGATTTTTCAGCACATAGTGGTCGATCCTACCTGCCAGGAGGCAATACTTCGGTTGGACTAATGCAAAGTTCTCTTCTGGAATGCTATTCTTACGTTGATCTCTTTGAGACTTTTAGAATGACTCAAGAGGTTCCTGATTTGCATGGAATAGTTGTCCTAACCCACTATCTTCTAGGCCTTGCTACAGATACCACATTCTTTGTAATGGCCGCTTGGTCAAACTAGCTGGGTATCCTTGGGTCTGAAATATATCTTTTATCCAAATTTGGGTTGTTCGAATCTGACCTCCGCATCTCGACTTCTGTCTATGCTTGGGTAACCTGGCAGTATCCCAGCCCTCGTGCTCCCTTAGGGTGGCGTAGCATCTAGGAAAACCGGAAGGGTACTACTGCTGAACGATCACCTTATTTTTTAAACTAATCTATTTGGGTTGCTGTTCGGTCGGCCTCTGCGCTCAGGACTCCTATCCAGTCTGACTTTGATGAAAAACTACTAATGGATATCATCCTAAGCTGGATCGGTGGGACTTTGCTCCGAAAACAATATATCGATTGACCACCAAGCGTTTCTGTAACGATGAGCTCTCGAGCAGTTCCAAGATTTTTTCAACTCATTTCTCGTTCTGTCTTCAGACGTTTGATCTCCAGGGGTTTCATTGAGTATTAGTAGGTTGATGGCCGCGTAAGCCAAGCAGCAAGTGAGGGTTATCGGGTTGTGCTTAAGAATTATTACGTATACCCGACCTTCATGGTCGAGGAAAGTGCTGTTTTCATTTAAAGCCTTCATTAGCGAGAGTTTCTCGGGAAACGGCCCATGATATGATAACGCGAGGAGAAAACGACTGCAGTCAAACGAAATGCTATCGGGTCTGTGGCTCTTTTGGTTTTCCTTACACTTGTTTAGATTTCCTACAGAACGTAGCACTTAACTGATTCCATTGGCGATCGTGCTCTCAATTCCTACTCAAACTGCCAAGGTGTCTGTCATCGTTTATGCCCACTCTTTGCTAAGATGTTCTTTCCCAGTTGATGGATGCCAGTTAAGTGCCAACACTTACCATAGGTTTATTGTTGTTGATGTTGATTCTCTTTCCACTAACATATTAGTCGTTTGTTGAAGCCAGTAAATGATGCATAACTATTCTAAGATATGTTTGTTCGTAGCCACACAACTCTCGTTTGAACGGCCGTGTTCCTGTCCCGGCGTAATTATTCTGGTGAGCCCACACCAAAGGGAAGCACTGGACTCGAGTTTCGCTCTTATTAGAGCGAATCTGCAGTGCATATCCAATGGCCGTGACGGGATTTGAACCCCGGAAATCCGACGTGCGAAGCGAGCATTTAACCACTACTCCACCAACGCACGCTGCACGCATCTGAATTATCGTGGCTGAACAGGCGAACGTGTTCACACTTGAGCGATGTGATTGGTCTGCCCGACCAATCGAACGACGACCCACTAACTGCCCTGGTTGTGACGATCGATTGATCCACCAGCCAGAACTTTCCGGTCAGGTAGCGTGACACACGCTTGAAACCCAAAGGGTATTCTAAGATAACCAACTGTAGCATGAGAACGACAGTCCACTTCTGTTGGGCACTGCAGTGCCTACAAAGGTATACGTTTTGGTACGCTATCCGAAGAACAGCTGCTTTTTATGTCTCAATAGGATTCTTTGATGACGTGCACTGTTCGCACTCGTCCTCCGACATCCGTCCAGGACCTTGATGAGCGTGATGATGCGGGTATTATGGCTATGAAATATAAGGTCGTTTATCTGGGATCGCATCTTTTCGTCCGGTTAGGTTTGTGTAACGAAAGCCCCCTAGACATGTGGAATTAAATGACGGCTAAGCCTAGATTTGATAGTGCACTCTCCGTATTTTACCAGGAAGTGGGAAATGTCTTATTGATCATCAAAAACAGTTCAGAACCATGCCGTTCAGGTGATATTTTAGAATAAAATGGCCTTCAATTCTATTTATCGATTGCTAAGGACTGAGCTTACAGAGGCTAAAGTGCGAGAAACTAATACAGCGGTCTCCAGTTCTAATAAAACTTTTTGACTGCTCCTTTCTTGGGTTAGCAGCTGAGTAGTCCCCATGCTATTGGGTTACTTGGTAGTAATGGACCGGAAATCTAGTATTAATTTCGTTTGAACCGAAAACTACCCATCGTATTACTGTTGACCATCACGTTCTGTCCCCACATTTATCGTTCTTGTTATTTTGACGCTTCATTAACGATGGGATGTTTAGATTCGTTAGCAATGTACTATAGGAACCCCATATACGACTAAAACGTAACAAGTGATCCAAAGTTATGCATCCAGGTTGCGCCAATTTGGGTTCAACTAACCGTCGATTAAGGGTAACGAAGACGGGTCCCATACCATAACACAAATGATACAGTATGAGATTTCTGATTGATCGTAAATCCCTATCGTTGATCAATCGCTCGATATTTTTTACGGTGTTTTTACGGTCTGTCCAGAGCGATGTGTGACTCTTCGTAATGGACCGAGTCCCTGGCTACTTTCAGTTTTACGCCACATCTTATTTTCACACAGGCTCGCTCGAAACTGCACTTGGTGTCTGCGGTGGGTTTTGCGCCGGTACGGCCTATGTGGTAGGACATCAGGAGTTGTCGGGTCAAGGCTATTGTTTCTCCGCCTCGCTTCCTCCGATGTTAGCTTCTGCTGCAACTGAGGCTCTGAACAAACTGCAGTCAGAACAGGAAAGAGGCACTCGGAATCGTAAACTTCTACGTTTGTCCAGGTTGGCAGATGAACTTTTTCATAAGGACCGTACACTGAACAAACGTTGGGAGCTCATTGGCCATCCGGACAGTCCCATAAAACACTTGCGGTTGCGTAGTGGAAATAGTCTGGCTCTGCTTGAAGAGATCACGGAAGCAGCTTACAACTGGGAAGACAAGAACAATAATAATTCAACGCCATTGCTACTCACTGTAGCCAGGTCAGTATTTGTTTCATTTAGCTTGAAGAATCGGTATATGTACAAATGTCTGTGTAAATTTCTACTTTTTTTGCCACTATGTTGTGACGTGTTAATAGCAACTAACGCAACAGTACGCGCTGTATGCCCTACGCTTGTGTTAAAGAAAGATAGGTGATAGTTTGAGTGTGTATCACTGTCCAACTACGGGATCCTTGCACTACAGGCCTCTGGTTTGGGATTCCAGTCAACGCGGCAATCAATCACAACAACACGCTGTTCTCGCTGTCGGTCTCATTTTGAAACATACTTGGTCTAAACAGGAATGTGAACTCATTCGACCACTATATATATATATCTCTCTCCATTAGTATTGTTTTCAACTAAGACGCCAATCTTTAGAACTAGCGACTTAACTTACGTCGAGTTTCCGTGTCATTTTCCGTCTACCCACTACTCTTTGGTGGAGTACTTCAACCAGGTGCTGTTCTTTGACAAGACAACCGAGAAGTATCAGTATGCCTTACAGCTTTTTGTTCACATATACACTCTTTCACAATCCTTTAAATTAGGCTATCCTGATCAGTTTAGCTTTCAATTACCCAAGCATTATTCCATGTTTAAGCCTCGACCCTAAATCTCTAATAGATTTAAAAGACTTGATAAACAGTGCGCACTTCAGTATCCTTACCGTGTTTATTTTTCAGAATCTCCGCTTTCTTTCGGTGAATACTGTGCCTTCGAAATAGGCAAACAAGACCTCAGTTCGGTCCTACTCTCAGTACTAATCCTAATTTGCCGCGCTTCACTATTCTAGTGTCTGGTTATCCCGATTCAATGGCTCATGCTACCCAGGGCGTGGCTGATGATCATCATGAGTGATAGTGCTTTGCTGGACTAGATTTCATTAGACAATATTCTTCGAGCGGTTCTGTTAGCTGGCTCAGTCAAGATACAGGTATCTCGAAACGGTAAACGGCGTTTATTTGTCTCAATACACTCCGGAAAGAGCAACTCAGAACTGAGAGAGACGGCTTCTGTCGATATTTTTCGTGGTCATTTTGGTCAGTGAAAAACCCAAATATTATAGTTCTAGTACCTGATTTGGGAATCAATTCACTCCCCACTAGGAGGATACAAGGCCATTTGATTAATCACCTACAAAGTATCTCTGCACCCAACAGTAACAATGTGGGTGGGGCCAGAGGGTTCTAGAAAGAAATGAGCGACAATAATGGTGAGTAGAACTGCTTTTGAGCACACTCTTCAGGACGAGCAGCTCTTGTTGATGCCGGAAAAACTGTTGGTATCAAACTATGGTAACGCTCACGAATCCTTCGGACGCTGAATAGTAATGAGCTTGAGGCATGACAGAGAGTACTGGTGGATAGCGGATGTCCGGGAGATGGGGAATCTCTCTTAACACGATACACTTACATTCTACTTTAACCCAGTGGTGGGTTAAAAAAGATCCACAAAAAACGAATGGATCACCAGTCCATTGTTAGAAACGTTATCTTGAAAAAGTTCGACGGGTCTTTATCATTTTAACCTCTGCAAGAATCACATAAACATGAAAGGAATGTCGATATCAATTCTTCGTCAGCAAACCTTTACCTCGCTGAAGTGCGAACACGTTCGTCCGTTTGGCCGTCATACTTTGGGTTCGTCCAGTGTGCACTGTTGGAGTAGTGGCAAGACACTAAATTCTCGTATGGTATAAAAGCACGGTATGCCTATTCCGTCAGACGCGCATTGGTCTGCAGCAATTTCTCCTCCGAGTGCAGGCAGTGCTTTCCGCTGCTACCGTCTTTACCTTCGTTATCCATATGCCGCTTGAATATCTCTTAACTGCCGCCAAAACCTAGAGTATCTCAGTGGTCCCGGGCATTCATTCATTGGAAACGCAAACTACTTCAAATAGTTTAAATGATTATAATACACGGCCTGACATGCATTTTACATTTTCATTGTAAATGACCACTTTAAGATTGGGTGGGGTCAAATCCATACCTTATGCATGCAGGTGGATAGACCGATGGGGTAGATAAATTCATTCTGCTGTGAAGCTGCTTAATTTTCGACGGATTGGAGAGGGACAAAACCACTCTCTGCATTGTGTAAACCAGGATTGCATATTTCGGCTTCTGACATTTGTCTCTCAAAGGTAGTGTGTACACTGCTACAGTGCCGTATGTCAGGCCTTATGGATCAGAGACCGTTGTGTTTGAATACTTTTTGCTGATTCATATCTCCGATTCATCTTGCGTGTCTCGCGCATACTTGTGAGCTAGTTGTGCGATGAATAGACAACCTAATGGAAGCATACATTCACTTAAACCTTGGGAAGACTATTTGCACTGAATTCAAAGCACTTTTTCGCTTCTTTTCATTTGGTGATTATCAATTGCTTCCTGTTCTCATCCGCTGTAGAGTCACCAAAGCTGTTTTGTGCTTCAAACGCCACATGCAAACATTAGAATCACTGCTATAAAACACATTCATGAACACTGTTGGCTTTATGGATTGGAGTTGTACTTTGTGTTTATGTACCTTGTCCACCTGTTCGATACGGCGTTACATTCTGAATCGTAAGATCTAATAGCATATATCTACTCTGGTATTGCATACTGATAGCTTACTGTAAACACGAGATATAATTGTCTGTATCTCCTCGTCTACATCTGCTTGCGATGGATATCCTGTTTTGAGCATGAATTACATTGATAACGTAAATCTGCTTGATCCAATAATTCGATTTGGCTTTTTCGCCTAATTTTTTCCATAATTTGATCACTGTTTATTGAAGGATACAAGTCATTGGTTTTCTGCAAGCCGGGCAACATTTGAGAACTTGCTAGTGGTTTGATCTTTATTTTTACTTTCCGTAATATGATCATTCTGGTATTGACATGTACTTACCACGGGTGGAATGTATGAGACGTTTTCTAGGCTAAGGGGGACGAGATGGCCCAAGTGGTTAGAGCGCGAATTCACTGACTGGAAGGTCCGTGGCTCGGACCCGACCTCTGCCTCTCGACTTCCCCTGTCTAGGCCTGGGCAACCTGGCAGCATCTCAGCCCTTGTGCTCCCTTCGGGTAGCATGGCAGCTAGGCACCGGAAGGGTGTTACAGCAGGCGACTTTTTGTAGGCTAATGCACTCGGTGGCTGGAAACCGGAGCTGGTTTGGGCTGGCATCAGTGAACCCAGAACTGATTTATTCTTTAGCCTAATCTAAACTGATCTTTTCCGCAAGACAGCTGTTTCCAAGTTTGGGCGAGTTGTTGTCACTCGCAAAAGTGGTTTACATAAAAAAGGAAGTTGCGTGAAGGATACGAAATTAGCTAGGAACATGAAACAACTGAGGGGCATAAAAATACCCCACCGTCTAGAACGTGAGTAACGTGTGCATAGAGTACAACTGTCAAGTATTGTGGAAGTTTAAAAGCTCGAAGACTAAAAGAAGCTAGAATAGCATAAAGCGAGCGAGAACTCAAACAGTGAGCAGCGCTGGAGAAAAACGATGGCAACGAAATACACTCATCTGCAAACCATCCTGCTGGTGTTAAAATTCTCTCGTCTATAGATTGTTCTCGCGACAACAATAAGGCATGCATCACTAAACCATCCTGGGATTGAGGCGCTGCCACGTCCGGCAAAATGAATTATAAGTGGGAGTGTGAGGTCATTCAACGAAAAGCGTATGATCGTTGGGGATGCAGAAATTCAGAGAACAGTAGCTGAAGAATTGTTGCATGCTGTCCCAGTCGACAGATGGGAAACGTCAAAAGCTAGCCAGCCAGTTAGGGTTGTGGACAGTGAAATCGCGAAGGTATAAATTTCAGCATTAGGGTCGGATTGTGAGATTTCACAGTGGAAAAAATGTGAGCCGCTCGACCACTAGTGGGTGATCGATTTATGCAACGAAAATATTCGTTACTTTAGATTAAGGTTATTTCAAATAATGAAAATCAGACGAACGGTAGCTAAGAGTCGATGGAAAGAAAGAAGAAGAAAGAGGGAAGAATGACCGTTTGTTCGTTTGCTACGTTACTTGATTTGGTCGCCTGTGTTCCGTAGTCAAATGAAACGATATAGCGACACGTAGTGGCCTCTCTTACGGGCTTCTACGGCCGTCTCAGTGACCCTTGGGAGGTGTTTTTTCGCAGNACGAAGAAGAAAGAGTGTAGAATGACCGTTTGTTCGTTTGCTACGTTACTTGATTTGGTCGCCTGTGTTCCGTAGTCAAATGAAACGATATAGCGACACGTAGTGGCCTCTCTTACGGGCTTCTACGGCCGTCTCAGTGACCCTTGGGAGGTGTTTTTTCGCAGTGGAAAAGCGTCGCCCTGCGAAGGACACGCTATACTGGGCATTCGTCTGCAGTTGAAGTAAGCCGTACTATCACATTTTCGCTCTCTACCAGACCTATGAGAACTTCGCCTCCAAAAAAACCATAAAATTAAACCTCAGTTGAGTAGCCGTCCCAGGAACATTGGATGTGCACCACCTTACTGGATATAGCTACTTAAGTCGATCACAAGTAGCATATTAGTAGTGTGTTGTACACGAAAATTTTCGTAGAATTTTACGATGGTCCCAATCAGTGACATTTATACTGTTCCTTGATATTCTTGAGAAAATAATTTGATACCCATCTTGGGATAAATTTGTGCATAAAACCATGATTAAGAATTGTTTGTTCCTTAGGCTACTGGGCTGCAGACTCCAGATTGAGACCACAAAACTAAGTGAAATATGTAATTACTGTCATAAAATCCCAACAAATCCAGATTCGTTCCCTTTTTGATCTCTGAAATAGACCAAACGGCCCAGGAGCATCACCAAAAGACATCAAACTCAAGTTTTCCCAGGGCGCTGCGGTGCGTAACCTCATATTCCGAGATCCTGAAGCTGTCGGCGCTGCATGACCCTTAGATATCGCGGCCAGAACCGACGCAAGGCGAATGGGGTCATCAGTCGTGGCGCGTGAAGTTATGATAAGTGTTATTAATTAGGAATGCGGACGGAAGAAAATATGTGAAGGAGAAAGTAGGGAGGCGTAAGTAGTAGTCTGTTTTCACTTACCCGCCCTACTGTATTCAGCAAGTACGGCGACCCTCTGATGGTGCCACCGCGACGACCGATTCAGCACGGCAGTATTTCTGGCTATATGTATTCGGCTGCACCCGGGTCGGGATACTACCAGGGCGCCCAAGCTTAGACAGGATGACAGCTGTGGTCCTCAACCAGAGCCGCAAGACAGCGGTGTTTGGCGTGAAATGCCAGCGCATTAAATTTAGAAAAATATTTGCCACGTATGTTCCAACCCCGACCTGAAGATTGTGTTGGTCACACTAACTACTGACCAATCTGAGAGACTGCGAGTGTTGCATGGTCACTTCTCAGTATAGCTTATTGGATCATGGAGGCATTCGAGCCGTCACGCCAGTCTTTTTGTGACCGGATGACCTCCAACCCGCATTGTTCGAGGATGTGGGTGAGGTCTCCAATCAGTGTCTGTGTCACCCATTTGCCTTCATTCGGGAGAATGAGATCTTCTCAGACACTAAAAGTTCCCGTTTTTTAAAAGAGCCCTTAGCGAATACGGAAATTACAAAACAACCGGCTTGAATCCAGCTGTAACGGGACTCTCGGCGTCACTTATCCTTTGGCGTCATATGATGGCCCTCAAAACACTGACTTGCGAGCAGCAAGCGGGATTTGGACCAGGTAGGGGTAGCTTTCATCATATCTTCACACTCCGTCAGAACAACATCGTGCTTATAAGCGACCCACAATTTTGGTATTCCTGAATTCCAAAAGAACACTTGGCTTAGTTGACTGGTATGTATTCCTTAACACACTTGTCCAGCAATGAGTGCCTCACAAGTTTGTAAATGCAATAAGTTCTCTGTATTCTCAGGCTTCCGGGAATTTACGGAGAGCTCTCCGAAAGTCGTGTCCAACAAGGATGCCATCTATAATTATTCAATTTCGTGATAAGTGGGTTAATGAGATGAACGCTGGGAGGTCTTCAAAACCCTGGTGCTTAAAACTTTGTCGATGTGGATACGCAGACATCATTGACATCTTCGAAGATGAAAAGAAGGCATACCCTGCTAGTTATGAAAAATGGTGTAAAGAGCTGTGAAATCCTTCCCAAATCGGTTAAATTAGGCTTCCGTACCGCATGTTTCAGTGTGCTTTGGACTCTGCTGATTCCTCGATAGCTTTTCATCTGATCTGTAACGGGTGTTTCATCGTTGTATCTCACACTGCGCTTCTGCTTGTTGCTTATTGTTATCGTTGCGCGCTACTTGCTCTGTTTTGACAATAAGTTTGGTCGTTTTCTAAACATGAGGTTTTATTTTTGCTGTGCTTCCCCAAGTCACAGTCCTTTTCTTTTCTAATTCGTAGATACGCTTTCACAACGAATTGCCCTGTCCCACCACCAAGCATCCGGATCGCACTCAACTGCGACCTTACAGACAGTGAAGTTCGGCATCTGTGGCAGGTGTTGCGTACCGTTTAGGTGGTCGAAAATTATAACACGAATAATAGCCTTCCAGTTCCCCGTTGATTAACTGTCTTTGTGCCCCAAACTCGGCTGTGCCTACAGTTTTATGTCTGAACCGATACTTTGCGTTTTTTTAGTGTTCTGTTATTGCTACCCATGCGACATATCGTTTCGGCCATGCACTCACAATGTAGATTGCTACACAACACTATCTTACCGTCAGTTACAAGTTTTTTGGTCATTAAATTGTGGATTCCTTCCGGCCTTCCATGCTGCTGACCTCGCTTCAGCACATCTGGTCGAATACTAATAATACCAGTAACACCACTGATTCCTATCACATCTTTTTGGTGGTACTCAATTACTTGAAGTCAGTCTTTTTCAGAAGTGGGTAGCATGTATACTGTGGCACTGCAAACACTACTAGGGCTTTCTAACGGATATTAGATGGTGTTTAGTCTTTAAAAAAAGGAATTTGACCCAGCGATACTTGTAGATGTGGAAGGTTCTGTTGGACTTCGCTTAACAGGGGATACATTTGGCTTTACTTGATTTCGCTACTTTCTCCAGGGAACAGATGAGTAGGCTCAAAGGATGTTCCGAACCTCTGTTGCACATAACGCACGGTCAACAAAAAGATCCCACTATAGTGTTATTCACTTTTTGTTCCATTGCATGATGTCGTAAGCCACATGCAAAAGCAGTAAATAGTTCAACGTCGACCCTGATTGTTGAGAGCCACGTTTTCAGCCGCTCTCTGCTGAGGCAGCGCAATCCTGAGCAGGGCTGTGTCGACGGGGAGAGTCATCCTGGCCTGTGGAGGGGGCCTCCTGACCAGTGTAGTTGGCGTAGAAATCCTACGACGTTCTCGGACAGCGCTACTTGGTACTGTATTATCTCAACCTGTTTTCAGTGTTTGCTGTACTTGCCAGCGGCTCTGTGCTTCGGGTCTGAACAGATCGTCAGTTCAGGGAGGTGAGGTCTCGGCCGCACAATAGTATAGGTCGCGTAATCGCAGTGTACACACGGAGCCTCGTTCAAAGGCTGATTTTTTTTTTAGCGTTTCCATGCAGCTGTGAGGAGATGCAGAGTTTTTTTCCCGCGTCGTTAACGCGAATGTCTATTTTTTGTAGTTTTGTCCGTTTGGAAGAACAGAATAATTAGGGGGGTCTGTCTGGTTTATGATTTCTCAGTTAACACAGCAAGCTAGATTGAACTTATCTATCTGAAATTTGTCAGATATCACAAGTTAACTGAGGATGACAAAATTGATCAGTAGATCAACTTTTCGCAGCTTTGTCCCAGTATAAGTTTCTCAAGGATGTGATGATTGGTGTCGCCTGAATCCCTAGTTCTAGTGTTACAGTAACCGACAACCATCGAGACTTTATGTTTGATCTTACGGTTTCTCACTCTTTGCAGCCGGTTGTAAAACTTCCCCGACGGAAAGGTTGGACAAGGAGGGGCACAGAATGCTATAATGAACAATTAACCAGAGTTTCATTCAGACGAGTTATCGGAATTCTAGGAAATTCTAGTTCTCAACAGAACAGGGTGGCGTGGGTACATTTATTAGGGTAAGGCCGTATCATGCAGGGCTGAGTCCTCATTTGGTCCACTGTGGTACAGCCAACAGCTGTGTTCCATTTCTGGAACTTTGATGCTCCTTGAACCAAAACCAGGGATTCATGTCTCCCAGAGACAAGTAATGTCAACCTGGTAATCAGAATGGCTTCGCATAGTGAGACTTTGCGTTACCGTGTCGATAGGAGTAAGCACATTCCAGTATGTGAAGTGGTTTCCTGATTCTGGGAAAACATGGACGAAGCCCAGTCTGCATAATTGTCGCTTCAATTGCTGAGCGGGCCTCGGGAGTTCGATTACCAGGGGTGCCTTGGCAAGAGCTATGCTGTGTTTGGGAACCAACCGTGAAATTACATGTGAATTTGTTTCCGATCGGCGTCCCCAGCTCCGCATAACTTTTGTTCGAGGTTGTATCTCTGGACTTGCGCAACCATGAGCAGGTTGCAAGTCGGTGGGGAGCAGAACCGTCAGGAAGGCCGTTGGATCTTGAGTCAACCACATCACTCCACTCCACTCCACTCCACTGGGTCCATCATTTGTTCGAGTCGACTTGTTTAGCCCTTACACATCAGTGTGCGGCTCATGTGCCAGGGACCGTTGCACGGTCCGTACGCCAGTGCGATAGTACCAAGTGCTGATTATTGGCTCGTTTTGTGGGATATGAAGCCCTTTTTATGGCGGGGTAACCGCTGTTTTCTTTGTGCCCGTGTGCAACAGAAGTTACACCATGATTAACACCACCCCACGATGGAGGAGAGGATCGGTTTAACTAACCTGAATAGTTGGTGTCGAGGTATTTTGCAAGTCTCTAATAGAGCAACCATTTCTTACTGGCTACTCATAAGTAGCATAGCAGTATGGCAGAATAACTGTTGGACCGCTTGCGATACACTAAAATAGGTGCTCGGTGAGAAGTGGATGTTGAAATACCGCCTTATAGAGACCATTCTGTAAAGGACGAGGAAGTCCGTCACTCTAAGTGCTTGAACTGAGGAGAAAGTGATTGTGATATTATTCATATTTCAAGTGCACTAAGCCCAACAGGGATTAATACATTCATTCCGTTGCTTTTATCTGTGGTGGCTGTCGCTAGGAGTTTCCTGCTCGGTTATGACGACAGCGAAGCATCAGTGTTGAACACCGATGTCATTCTGTCGATGATGACGTGACCATGTTTTGGGGCCGTTTGCCAGTGGACCGGTAAACATTCATGTTGGCAACCGCAGCTTGGTAGCCAACCATATTATCTATACGATCCACATATCTCCCCCTGAAGCATCAGGAACACCGATGTCATTCTGTCGATGATGACGTGACCATGTTTTGGGGCCGTTTGCCAGTGGACCGGTAAACATTCATGTTGGCAACCGCAGCTTGGTAGCCAACCATATTATCTATACGATCCACATATCTCCCCCTTCTTATCCACCGTCTACTTGATTGATATTATCTTCCCGATGTTCCTTAGAATCGTTGTTGCAATAAGTGCTCAAATGTACGTCACACTGAATCAACAAATGGTCATTCTGAGCATATGCTCATTAACTAAGACCAAAAATACTCACGGTGGACAGTTTGGAGGCGAAACTCTTGATAACGCTGTGATGAGATTTTTCGTCGCAATATTTCTAGCGTTGATATGTGTTGAATTTAGTATTATGCCAACTCGCGTTACTTCTCAGTAGGGGCACTGAGACCAACATGAAGATGTCTCAGGCAGTGACCGGAGCCGAGCCGCAGTACAGTCATGTGTAAGGTTCGTAATCTGCTAAATCCATGGTAGTGTTCAGTCGGCAGACTAAAAGCACTCAATCGAGGTGTAGCATT